AAAAAAAAAAAAAAAAAAAAAAAAAATCTGTTCCGGCCCTCTAAAAAACGTCCTTATTAGTGCTAATAACAATGGAAAAAACATGTTTTTAATTGCTGTAGAGACATGCACACACAAAAAATGATATAGTAGTATAGTATATAGTATATAAGGATTCTTGTGATATAAAATAAAATGTGATTTTAATTATTTTTTAGAGTTCTTACCTTTGAGACAGATGATACAGTAGCAGCTAATGGCGGCATGTGCGGAAGAGGATGAGGACACTTGATTCCGTATTTATTTGTTTTTGGGGTTTTTTTCTTCATTATGCTTTTTTTTTTTTTGCTGGTGCGACTTATACTCCAGAGTGACATATAGTCTGGAAATTACGGTACAAAATTAGCTCCTAAAAATGTGTGTTGTTTACAATTTTTTGGACTAAACACCATAAAAAGATGGGTTAGGGTTATCCTTTATTTTCTTGTATACCTTAGGGTTAGCGTCCAGTGAGTCATTTCAAAAACCACATTGTGTCTTATTTTAATAAATGAATAAAAATAATACAAAAAAAAAAAAATCAAAAACCTCATCCAGCAATATGAAAATAGCTGATCATAACCCACCAATTACTTCTTCTTATTAGTTCTTCTTTTGGGTGCAATATTACCCCAATTTAAATATATGTCCAAAAATGACCATAAGTGAACGTGTCAATTCAGAGTAAAGAGTTTTTGTGCAACATTTACACAGTGTCGTACATGCAGGGGACCATTCATTTCATATCTTTTGGTATTTTGCACATCATTCTCTCCGGTAGCGTTGAGTGTCAGCGTCAGCTTTGGAGTATTCACCACCTAATAAAGAATGGATGATGCAGTAAAAGTGTGTGTGAGAGAGAGATGCAAAAAGGCAGCAGGGGAGAACAGGAGTCTTAATGTTTCTCCAGCTGCATTGACTGTTCGCCTCTCTCTAACCATCCATCCTCAACGCCTTAATGAAGCTTCTCATGCTGCCATTATCATTATGTACAAGTGGATGTGTGTGTGTGAGAGAGAGAAAGAGAGAGAGTGTGAGAGAGAGAGTGTTTATGGACTCCCAGTGCCATCCCTATATTGTCTTCCATCCTCCCCCACAGTAGGAGGAGACACGCAAGCAGTATGGCAGCCAGCATCCCTCACTATGTGATTCCTGCATATGTGTCACACTGCTGCCCCCACAGCAGCACAGCCCACCAGAGCTGGGAGCCTGCCGATGACTCATCATTCACCTCTCCTCTCCTCTCCTCTCCTCTCCTCTTCTCTCCTCTTCTATGTCGCTCCCTTTCTGCATTCCTAATCCTTTAATATCCCTCTCCTAAATTTCAATATTCCTCTTAACCTTTCTTTGCTCTGTTGTTGACCCCCGGTATTGCCATCTTTAACTTTTAACCAACTTTACAAGGGTTACACCTCATCAGGGTGGCAGTGGGGTGCCTTGGTGGTTAAGGAAACATTTGGGTCCGGAAGGTTTCAGGTTCACAGTCCACCAGCTGGCAAGTTGCTACTGAGGTTCTCTGAGCACGACACTGTGCCAATGCGTTGCTCCCCGGGCGAGTGAGCAGCCCCGTGCTCATTTTGGCGACGGGTGATAAAATGCAGAGGTCACATTTGTGGTGTGCTGCGTCACAATGACAAGTCGAAGTTGTCTCAGGCATTTGTCCTTTTGACATTTGTCACAGTCTCTCTATGTCTCTCTGTCCAAGTTCTGTTCACCTCTATCAACTTTTTTTTAAGAATTTTACAGACTTTGTAGATTAAAGACTAAGAGTCTAGACAGAAAAAACTAAGAAATTAAGGGTTTCACCCCAAGCCTCTTTTTGCCATGAAAAATACCATTAACTTAATATCCCAAAATTATAACTTTAATTTACCTTTAAACATTAACCACTCCTCGGAAAACGTCTACAGCTATTCACAAAAATACAAAGTTCAGCATGTCTTTACTAAAGAGAACTGGGAATCATTTTTAGTGAATTGCAATTCCATCTGATGTAAGAATTCTATCGCACACTGATTTCACAACAGTGAACAGTGCCCTCCTCTGGTCGAAATTTAACATTGGAAGCCTGTAGTAGTTCGGTCGAATTCTTATGTTAATTACAAGTGGTGACTTTTTTATATTCAATAAAAAATGTCAGAATTTGGGTTTATGTATTTAATGAACCCGTGACAGAAATACCAGGACTTCTGGCTTTCAACCTCGTAACCCTTTGTTTGCTGTTCTCTGTTTCTTGTTGAACATTTAAATGTTGAGGTAATTTTCGTAAAGGTTACACTGTAGCCCTTTAACGTCCACTGGAACGAAAACATACAGGATTGTCCGGTCTGTTAGGCGGGTCACATGACGGTCGCACGGAAGCTTTTTGTTTTGCTGAAATAAAAGTTGATACGCAGGAAACGTGTTATTAAATAAAAGACCAATCGCATTGAACGCCACGGTTTGAATTTATTTTGAAGGTCAAAACCGGAAATAAATTATCATAGCATTTTCTAACTTGTTAAGACCTTCTTAAAGGGTTTTGTACCCGAGACAAAAATGTTATCCTCTTGCCCAGTTCGCAGTGATTACCTCTAAAACTCTGCTCAAACACTGTCGAAAGTGTGGACGACAGCCAAGACAAAAAACGGTAAGTTAAAGAAAAATGTATATATTTTCCAATGAAAAAGGGTGGAAAAAGCTTTAAAAGCGCCCAAACCTCGAAAGCGTTGCGTTTATTCAATATCTCCGTTAACCTTACCGTTAGCTCGACGTACCGCGGTAGAAAACACATAGTCGTTAAACCAAACCCGCAAATCTCACAATACTTGTCTGGACAGCGAAGATTAAATTGTTTAAGTTCTGTTTTGGTAAGTTGAGTAACAATGGAAAGGACATTGTGTGGACTGTCTTCAGTTGGTGAATGTTTTTCCCTGAGCGGCCACAAACCTGAGTCTGCTACTGCTTTTAATGATCTTCATTTGAATTCCATAGTTATTAATCTGTTTGTGTGAAAACAGCAGACTGTTTAGTTCGTTGTACGTTGAGTAATGCCGTTTCAGAGATTTTAAATTTTTTTTTATCTTCCCGGAATTGCTTTTCTTTAGCAGGTGGACTTGCAACAGGTGGTCGCTGGTACAAGTTTCTAGTTTTACACCATCATTTTGAAAAAAAAACAAAAAAATAACAACAAACAAAATGTAAACCATTTGTTGTATTTATCTTTCTTTCTGAATTTCCTGAAACTTTATTTAATTTATAACCAAATACATTTATTACATTTTTTTTCATCTTTTAAGACACATTTTTGAGACAAATAAATACACAAAAGCTTATATGACGTAGTCACGTGTTGCTATTCAACAATATATATTCATTTACTTCATTATTATACCATTGCTCCTGCACGAGTTCTTACAGTTTCTCACGTTTTCACTTTTTTTTTACAATTAATGCTTCAAATATGTGTGAGATGTTAATGTAGCAATTCAATCTGAAAAGGGTTTTCTTTGTCACTGCTTTTGTGATATGCCCAATGCCTTTCTAGAAACAACTGTTAAAAAAAGGGTGAAAACTTAAACACTGTTAAATTCTGACTACCCCTTCCTGCAGACCTGACCAGGCTTCTGCTTAAGCACATCACCCGCCCACAGAGCTTCTAAAGAGAGCTTTTCCGCTACTCATTTCTGCTTTTTCAACATAAGGCTAGGCTTCCCCTACATGTCCTTTTTTTAGTTCCGACATACTGTACATCCGATCTGGTAACAAGTATAGTAAAATTTGAATTGAAAATGATTCTCTGTGGTCATAGTAAAAAAAAAAATAGCTACCCTGCTCTCCTTTTCTGTGTTGTGCAGCAATGTGTTTTGCTATACATGTGTATGATTTAGAAAAGTGAAAGAGGTAGAACTTAAGTTAGAGAGAGAGAAAAAAAAGTTCACCTGTCAGCATTGTGGTTGGGGCCAAGGGCTGTTTTATGTGGAGTTTACATGTTCCTCTTGTGTGCTTCAGGATGTTGTGGTTGAAGTATAAATGAAATGAAATGCCATGGTGGGATCAAAGCCCCCACATTTAACCTGGAGCCATGGTCAATGGCGTGTTTACCTCACCTTAAGTTTAAAGCATTCAGAAAATAGTATATATTAAATATTTTCATGGAGTTCACGGTTGTAAATGGTTCAAGATTGATGTTTTCTCTAGTGTAGCTGGACTGCACCTTGTACAAGGAAGTGAGATGTTGATCAAACATAACAAATAATTAAAAAAAAGCCGCATAGTTTTGTTTAGATTATTATAGATATTTTTATATCTCTTTTTATTTATTTGTTTGGCATTTTTGGCAACCTTTGGCACAATTTTAATATTCTGATTAAAAACAAAAAAAGTATAACACTTGAGGCATGTCTTACTCTCAGTCTTGTGTAGCTCATGTGATACAGATGAGTTGATAGAGTTGATTTAACGTTTTTTTTTTGGTTTAAAGCACAGTTATAAACCTCGGTCATTTAAAAAAATACAGTATATACTGTCTGTTTATTAGCAGCACTGTGTAGTAGTTTGGATGCTGAATACAATATGTCCATGGCTTAGATGCCCTGCCATTAGATTGCGTGAGTGGCGCAAACGTTTTGCAACGCACTTTGACCAACAATCATGTGTAACCATATGACAACACCAACAAGTGTTACACCATTCCACATCAGCACTATGGGAATGTATTTATGGAGACAGCCCTCCATTTACTACAGTAAACTGGCCAACCGAGTTACTGTGACGACACGCTGTCCTGTGACCTGTCATCTCTCATTTGTACGTGTCTTTACCTCTCTGATATGATTATCTGCTACTGCAAAATGGATTCACATGTGGTGGAATTAATGCAATTTATTTTTTTTCCCCGTCTGCTGCTAAGAGAAGAATTCTGGGAAACGTTGTTGCTACCTAGTGAGCTGGACTATGTGTGTGTGTGTGTCGTGTGGATCCATTTTGTTACCAGCAGGACTGAGTCACTACTGAGTTCTAATAGAAAGTGGTGTGAGAAAAGCTGTTGATATACAATTGAGTCATGACCACTTGACCTGTGTGCAATTGGTGAAAGGGGCCGAAGGGGGAGTTAAAGGGGTTGGGTGAATGAAAAAAGAATTTGCTGACAAAGCTAATAAACAATATCACAGCACTGAGCACTACACACGAAAAGCAAGTTTATCAGTAATATATCATTTCAGTAAATTATTCACACACATTATCCATGTAGCTTTGTTTTATAATTTGAACCCAGCACAGTTAAGTATAAATGTATCAGAAATATATCATTTCAGTAAACTATTCACTATGCTACATCTATGTAGCTTTGTTTTATAATTTGAACCCCAACAAAATGGAGGCCGGAGTTGCTAACCAAACGTATGGCAGTAGTTTCTGTATTTACAAATGCGCCATGTGTATTTCTTTTGCCAAAATGGGTAAATGTGTCACGGTAACATGTTTATTTTTTCAGTGTGGTGCCTGGGTTTTATGTTTTGAATTGTCTGAAACAGAGAAATACATTTGATTATACAATGATTATTATGCTATCATTAATAACATTAATTATTTTTTTGTCGCATGTAAGGCACGTGCAGAATTATGCAAACGGTACAGTACGTCCAACCATCCCACTATCCCTCCACGTAGTCACTTACATGTGTTGTTTACATGCACTAGTTTTCGTTTCACCGAAGCATTTCAAACTTCAAATACCATTTCAGTGCCCGTCATGCTTTTGGTTTTGTCAGGCTTTTGATTTGTCTCGAATAATCAGGAATAATTGTGATTAGTCACGGTTATGATTAAGGAAAGGAAAAGGAAAGGAAAGGAAAGGGACCATTTTAAAATCTAAGCAAAACAAAATCTAATTAAAACCCGATGTTTGTCCAGCTATTGTTATCCGGCTCCATTTGAAAACGTTAAAGAACATTTTGGGGGGAAAAAAAAAGTTTTTAGGGATACTATCCAGTCGACTTGAAAAACAGCAGTGCGTCTGGGACTGGCGTTCTGTCCTGCAATAGCACACATAAACACAGGCTCGTGAAAAACAGAAGTGCGTCTGGGACTGGTGTTCTGTCCTGCAATAGCACACATAAACACACACACACACACAGTTGGCCCCACTCTGTGTTTTCTTACCTCTAGTTTGTGTGTCTCTCATTGTGCTTGTGTGTGTGTGTGTGTGTGTGTGTGTGTGTACTTGCCCGGACGAGAGAATACCCTCATTGTGAGGGAAGCACAGAGACCCTGTTATTGGTGCTCTTCAGAGTGGGAGGGTGAGATGGATGGAACAGAGGAGAGAGAGAGTGAAGTGGGGGGGAAACAAATACATGTGAACGTCCAGAGAGGAAGATGCTGTTTTTAAACGGCCGAAAATTAACCAGAGTTTCCAGAAAACCGCGTCAGCAGTTGACAAACACCAGTGGAATGTACAGCCTTTTGCATTAGCACCATGCAACGCAACCAGGAAATTGTCATGTTGTTCTGTTTTTTTTTTTTTTTTTGTTTTTTTTTTTGTGAATATGGAAACTTTAATTAAACATTAAATTGGGTAGTTTAAAAAAAAAGGTATGATATATGTAGCAGTTTAAGATGTCCCTCTGCTGACATAGCAGAAAGTTCTGGTTAATTAACAAATGAAAAGTAACACTCCCTTGGTCGCCTGTCTTGTTAGAGGAAGCTGCAGACAGGAAATGAAATACAGCCATTTCAACACCTCACAACATGAGGTTAGTCTTTGCGGACACACTCACTCTCCTATCAGTATAATGAATATTAAAAGTTGAAAGTTTTTTTTCTTCAGGATTAACTTTGTCAGGAAGCTAACGTTTGTCAGGAAGCTAACGTTCACATGCCTATTGTACATAAAATTAATTTTTATCATATATTTGTTGCGGTAAACTTGCTAGGATTTCCACAATCAATTCACCTAAACAAAGACACATGTAAAAATGTTAATGAAAAAAAAAAAGTTAGGTATTTAAACAGCTGCAGCCATGGGCCAATCATGACGGTATTATTGCTTTACTACAATTCCCAACGCCGCATGCCCCACCGGAATCACGCGCACGCTGTAATTGATAATTAACTGATACCGATAATTAATTGTAATTGATACCGGTACACCCGGACTTTCTCGGATAACGGTGGATTCTGGAATGCCTTAAATTCCCGAAGGTCTCCGACTTTTGGCGACCTCCATGCAAGTTACCGGCTTTTACCATATTTGGGGCACTGAACACATGATTTGTGTCACATGATCATCAGCAGGAGGAGAGCATCTTGTTTCCAGTGAAGATTATGTAACACAAGGAAGTGAAAAGAAACATAACCCCAGCACCTCATCCGCTGATTCAACAAGGAAGAAAAAGATAACACACTGGAAACTTTTTTTTTTTTTTTTTTTTTTTCAATTTTATTTATGTTCAGCTCCTTATTGGATAATTCTACCGGTGGTCCCAGTAGAAAAAGCTACTTGACCTGGTGCAAGTTGGGTACCAAATTACGTCATTCGAGCCCTGACAGCCGTATATATCCTTCCTTTTACGCTTTAGAAAAAAAAAAAATCAGTTTTTAGGATTATGTAAGAAAAGTAATTTGAAACAAATAGAAACTCATTTCTAAAAGAGGAAACTATTGATTAAACTAAGATTGAAAACTTAAAGATATATTTTTTTTGTTTTTTCAGGTTTTGTAAGCCATGTTCTAAGACTGCACTCTCTCCATGGACGTGGACTTGCCCTCCCCCATGCCACGCTCTCATCCCATGTCACACACTGATCCCGGCGCAAATGTGTGGGACTGGCTGTCTGTTCTTCGCCTGGACCAGTACACCGTGGCATTTCAGAACGCTGGACTTATGACACTACAGCAGTGTCGCAACCTCACACAAGATCAGCTGGGGAGCATTGGTGTCACCCTGCCGGGTCACCAAAGACGCATCTTGGCCAGTCTGAACAAAACACAGGGAAGTCATGACACACAGTCTGTCACACACTCTCCTCCTGGCCTGTCTGAAAGGACCCTCCAATCGGAGGATGTTGACTCAGCGGATGAGTTACAGAAAGAGAAATATTTGCTCTCTTCTGAGAGACCTCTGGAAAAAAGAGACACTGAGATGCCGAGACCTGCTCCCAGAGAAAGAACTACACCTGTGCCCAAGGAAAAGCAACCAACTTCACAAGAGGATCACGGAGAAACGGACGTAGAGAGGGAGAGACCTGTGCCCAGAGAGAGGACGAAATTTAGCAATAACGTTGTAGTAAAATGCCCTCCTTTTCCAGCGTCCTCCTCGACTTCACCTCTCGACGCTCCTCTGCCCCCCGTGCCTCCTCGAAGCACCACCAACTGCCCTCCGCAGCCCTTTTTGCCCAGCCTGAGCCTAATTCCTCCTCCGAAAACTCCTGGCACTCCTGCACAAGACAGACATGATGTCCAAGGTCCAGCTGCGCAGAAAGCGCCTCATGATGCAACCTCCGCCTGCACTTCCACCGGTCCTGCTGCCAGAGAACGTCCACAAACATTAGACATCCAGCCACATTGCCAGTATCTCCACCCCGAGGGAGCAAGAAAAACATCACCCGTGTCCCCCGCGTCGGCTTCCATCAGCAGCGACAGAAATGCTCCTCCTCTTCCTCCAAAACTCAGCGCAGGATCCAAAGGCCCACCGCTGATCCCTTGCAGGGTTTCCACGCCTTCCAAAACGAACAGGTATATTCTCACTCTGTAAATGCACTAATCGTTTATGTACCATCTGCATTTTATTTAACAGTTTGGCTGGTCAAAATCATAACTTCCTTTAAAATCTAAACATCTGTTTTTACAACTATTTAACACGTGCTTGTGAATGTCCTCTCTGCGGGTTAAATGAATGACTTTCTATCTGCTCTCATTTTAAAGGCGTTGTGCCGTGGCGGTTAAATGGACTTGGGTCCTGGAGGTTTCAGGTTAGAGTCCACCAGTTGTCTTTGAGGTGCACTGAGCACGGCACCGTCCCCACTTCCCCCACATTGAGCTGGCCCCCTGATCAACTTGGTCGTTAGTGTTGTTGTTGTCTTAATGACAAGTAATTCACTTTTGCTTTTTAACTTCATTAAGATATAGACAACTTCTATAGTGCATTTCTTAGAGCATATGCACATTTTCATAACTGTTAATACAGTACGTTAGTACTTTTTTTTTTTAGACAAATGGGTCAGGACACCAAAATGGCAAGTCAACTTTTTGCGCATGACAACACTGCCCTCTAGTGGACACAGGCATACATATCTAAATTATTGTCCTCTTGACAGAAAGTAAATACTATTGGTGACTTGTAGACACTTCCTAAAATAAGCTCGAAACTTCCTGAAACTGAGACTGAAAACGGACGCTATTATTGAAATGTAAACATGACATTCCGTGGCAAATAAATTAAGATTTTTTTTTTTTTTTAGTTTTACCAACAAGCTTTTTTGAGTCTCAACATGTGAGAGGATGGATCTCTGAGTCACACTGTTGTTGCAGCTTTTAAACTCAGATCTGAAATATGTATAGATGTTTTAAAAAAAACCCTTTAAGACTCTAAGTGATAATAGATTAAGAAAGTTAAAAAAAAAAAATTGTAGTGTGTTGCACCCTTGGGTGTTAAGGTAAGTTTTTTTTTTTTTTTTTTTTTTTTTTTAAAGAACATGCTATGCCATTGTCTGTGTTTGGTTAGCAGCCCTGTCTCTGGATTTGGTGTTCTATGAGTGGTGTGTGTGTGTGTATGCGTGTGTGTGTTTTTTTTTTTTGTTTGGAGGAAGTACCGATAGAGAAGAACGCGTTCTGGTTGAAATCGTCCTTTCAGTCAGTCTTTGTCATATCGCAAAAAATGGGGGAGTAAGAAGAAAGATTTCCTTTTTTTTTCTTTCCTTTTTTTTTATCTGAAACTACTTTCAAAGTAGTTTTAGGTTTTAGGAATTTGTTGCATTCTCCCGCTTCCTCGTCTGTTCGCTTGCTGCATGGGTGCCGCCCCCAACTCTTTGGGTGAGCTTGTCATTTCCTCTTACTTTTTTTTTTTCCCCTCCTTCTCCCTCCGGTTAAGCGTGTGTGATTATTTTGTCATTGTTGACGTGGACTCCTTTTAAATATGTCCAGACTGGTAAGAAATGGAATTTCTAAATGCTAACTGCTTTGTCTACAATTGCACTCACACCTGTTCAAACAAGGAAGCTCTGCTTTGTTGTGCTTTGTGCTGTGGTTTTGCAGTCGCTTTGTTACACTTCAGTTAGGCCTAGTGTTATACATGGTACATAGTTGCTCTTTCGACAGTTTTTAGATCATTGTCAAAACAGTCAAAAATGAAGCTGTGGTTTGGGATTTGGTTGTTATTTTCTCTCCACTGTTATAATCATAACGCCTGACTGCGGGGCTTTAAAGATTCGAAAAGTGACTTTACCTTGATCAAGTTACCGCTGTGTCTTTTTGACAAACGCAGGTGCCAGTGTTTTTGCGATAACTTGTTTTGGAGGTCACTTTTTTGATTTAAAAAGAAACAGATATGTTTATTTTGTGGCCGAATCGTGATTGATTTTTTTTATTTATTTATTTTTTATTAATTGTTTACTGAGGCTCCAGGCTGAAAGTGTGGATTCAAGTTGTTTTTTTAGATTAAAGATATAGTTAATATCAAAATATTAACGTCAAGCAAAATATAAAACATATAGAAATACATCAAATGTAGGCTAGGCATTTGATTAGAATTTGAATAAGAAGAAGTAAAATTTTGAGCATATGTTACACACAAAGTATTTGAACATTGCATTTAACCTATCCAGTGCACATTAGTGTAGACCAGAAGTCAACCATACACATGGGTCTAGAATATATTTCCCAGATATTGCGTCAATTGAGAAAAGGAAAAGGTCAAGCATTGTTGTTTTTCGTCTGCCAGCAGAAATCCGGTTAATTTTAGCCTCTGCTCACACTTTGTCACAGGAGGAAGGAGGAACTGTGTCAATGGACCCGTTTCCTTCTATTGTGGGTCTTCCGTATCATATATTTGTTTTAAGGAAAATACACTATATTCGTTTCAAATGTAGTAAGTGTCATCCCACGATTACGCATTTTTAATATTTACTTACAAAATAATCTGATATCATCGTGTAAGCATGTGTGTTCCGTCCCTGTTTTTTTTTTTCCATTTTAAAACATGTCGACTGTTTTTTTTTTTTTTACAGACCTTTATAAACAATGTCTGCTGGGAATGTGCACTTCATTACAGTACATTCAATTCTTTCTGTTTCTACTTATTCTACTATTAACACATCAATGGTAAAGGTCAGTTTGACCATGCAACACGCACAACGATTAGGAAAAAAAAATTAAAAAATTCGAAACATTTTACTAAAATATTTGAAGTATTATTTTACTGAAGTATAAAGAAATGAGGTGAAATTATTTTCTTTTTTTTTTCTTCCCTTCCCTTAGCTCAGTTAAGAGTTCTTTTGAACAGAAATATGTACCTTTGCAAGTTAGGTGACATTTTGACAGAGTACACTGTACCGTTTGCTTTCCCAGTATGCAGTCACAGTCAACAGTCACAGGTGCAGTCTGGCTATTATTTGATCACGTGAACCCCCTTGTTCCTTTTGCTAAGCTGTATTAGGACGAGCAAGAAGTACGTCACATCAGTATGTAGAACAGCTGATACAGAGGTGTGTGTGAGTGTGAGAGTAAGTAAGTAAGTGTTTACGGGGGCTTCTCAGGTATGCTGTGTTTATGCGGAGATAGTATCTTCCTCTGGGATGCAGGTTAAGACTTGCTGTTGAAGCCCCAGGTACAAGGAGGGGAAACACTAGTCATAAGTAGAGCGAAGTGATGTGACTTTTTTTTTTTGCAGCTCTGAGCTCATTTCTCCGGAATACCAAGGAAAACCGAGGTTTCAGTGTGGGAGGGCAAAACCCACCGAGACCAGGCATTGAAATGATTGAGTTTTTCCAGGCTTTCTTATTCCTCATACCATTTCTGAAATGAATCAAAACGCGAAGGCTGTTCGAGAGTACCGAGGATGCATAGATTGTCGCGCCTGTGTAGGATTTTCGCTCGCTCACAGATCGGCGCGCTGCCTGAAGATTCGCCGCCTGGCCTCCAGTCCTCCGTTGACCAGATCTTTCCTGCTTTGTCCCTCAGCCTCTCACCCGCGGAGACCTCTGAAGAGATGGACAAGGACCAAGCTCCACAGGTTCCACCTCGAATCAGGACACCCCAATGTCCAGAAAGCCTGCAGCAGTCGTCTCAACTGGACAGTCAGCTGTCTCTGCCTGTGAGAAGAGTCTCCCAAACTCCCAGTGAGATCAGTAAGAACTTCATTCATGGTTTAATCTTACTGCAAAAAAAAAAAGAAAAGACTTTGGTAAAAAAATGTGTAAAAAAAACAACTTAACTAATGTGTGTATATATATATAT